AAGTTTGGGTAAAAACAGTGTTTTTAGACCTCTTTTAAATATAGCCAAGTTTGGACTATTTTGGACTTCCAGAGGCAATTTGTTCCATTCTTTTGGTGCTGCGTACGCAAAAGCTCTCTCGCCAAATTTTGTGTCTTCTGTACTTGACATACAAGTTGTTTTTATGCGATGAACGTAAGGTTCGAGAAGGTACATATTGTTTAATCAAATCGGATAAATAGGATGGTGCCACGGTATTGTTTAAACAGTTGAAAGTGATTGTGTTAATTTTGAAAATGCTGCGTTGATTAGGTGTAATATGGTCAGATCCAGGCCAGTTTTAAAGTGCGTGACTAGCCTGTGACTTCCCTAATGTAGGATACATATATGGATCTGTTCTTTCGTTCGTTGGGCTTAACGGCCGATTTCACGCAAACAATTGTTTCCTAGAAGATAGAAATGATAGAAGAGCTATCCTCGCCTGGCGTTGGTTGGGGATAGAGGAGAGATTAAGAAAGTTTTCCTCGATTAAAGCGGAAATCGTGCCTTTTGAGTAATAGTGTCTAATGGTGATGTTGAAGTAAATATGCAGTAAATGACACTTATTTATCAGGATCAGTCTGATTGATGTTTATCTAGGTATTTTAACATTTACAAATTAAAATACCGCCATCAGTACATCAGAGGGGGATTACTAGGAATCAACATGTGATTAGAAAGGATATTTGGGCTTAAAGAGTCCATACATTGTCGGCCTTGAGACATGTTAGTATAATTGATTCGGGGGTGGGGGGATATTGCTGAATAAATAAAATGAAATGGGGGTTTACGTCCGACTTTTCTGCACCGACTGGGCTAATAAAGACGGGCGTAGCACTTTTGCCCAGACAGCCTACTCTTCTTTCGAATTCCAATTGTCAAGGGTTCTTTTACGTGTACGCCAATGTGTACACGGGACCTCAGTTTTCGCACAATACGAACGACTAGGAACTGTCCTGACTAGGTTCTCCGTAGTGCACCACCGTGGAACTTTCTCGGCCAACACCGGGAGCGAACGCTAGACCTTGTTATAGCATGGGTGGGAGGGGGAGGGGTGGTTAGCGCGTGCGCGTTGTATAATAAGGTCTGACATAGAGTCAACTTGCGTGGTTTCGAATCCCCGGTTGTACGTGACAAGGAGTAGGGTCGCCTGTCCAACCTCGTGGGCTTTCTCCGGGTCCTCCAGTTTCCTCCCACTGCTAAAGACCCCTACACGCAAGGGGATTATTGAAATAAAAAAATTGAACCATGTTAGTCCCGAAATGACCTAGTTTGTGTTGAATGGGCGTTAACACCCCCCCTCTCTCTCTCTCTCTCTCTCTCTCTCTTTATAAGAGGGTTATAAAGGCGATAGATTATAAAACAAATTCAAAGTATTAATCCGATTATATAGTTGAAATCCAAATAGACGGATTAAATGAAATGAATTGGGGCATTTTGTTTTAGCTAATTGAAATAAAATTGTACCATAAGTTTGTCACGATATGATCTGGTTTGTTATGTGTGGACTTTAAATCCCGTCTGGCTAGAGGGACTGCGACCAAGGTGTATAAGCGTTTTGTAAACGCACTGTAGTCATAACCATCCGTCATCATTCTCGACTTTGCTCAAAATGTATTGAAAACACACTTTTCGTTTTCCTCTAGTTGTGAAGGTGGGAGAATAGGAGGGACCTCAGGCTAGGGCCTTTCTTCATCTTAATTCTCGGGGATTTTTTGAAATTTTTATGGGGGATGCCCTTCCTCCTCCTCGCACCCACCATACTTACAAAATTCTGGCATGGCTATTGTTTGACAAAATATCCATAGGTGGGAGAATAGGAGGGACCTCATAAGTGAAATAGGCTAGGGATTTCTTCATCTAAATTCTCGGGGATTTTTTTTTAATTTTATGGGGGATGCCCCTCCTCCTCCTCGCACCCACCATACTTGCAAAATCCTGGCATGGCTACTGTTTGACAAAATATCCATAGGTGGGAGAATAGGAGGGACCTTATAAGTGAAATAGGCTAGGGCCTTTTTTCGTCTAAATTCTCGGGGATTTTTTGAAATTTTTATTGGGGACGCCCCTCCTCCTCCTCGCACCCACCATACTTGCAAAATCCTGGCATGGCTACTGTTTGACAAAATATCCATAGGTGGGAGAATAGGAGGGACCTCATAAGTGAAATAGGCTAGGGCCTTTTTTCGTCTTATTTCTCGGGGATATTTTGAAATTTTTATTGGGGACGCCCCTCCTCCTCCTCGCATCCACCATACTTGCAAAATCCTGGCATCGCTATTGTTTGACAAAATATCCATACCCGGCTATCTAAATAAGACACATCACAGCGAAAGACCCCAACGCGCAAGCGAAGTATTGAAATGAAATCGAACCATATGTTAGTTCCGTAATGACCTAGTTTGTGTCGAGTGGACGTTAAACCCTATTAAAATACATATGCAAATGTGTGACGACAAGAGGATACTTGTCGACACGTCGCTCATTCAAAAATAGTATTATTTTTGAGATTGCGCTATATGCAGAGATTTCCTGAAAACATTAAACATTATATATATCGAGTGAGTAATATTTTGAATACAGGAAACTGAAGCTGTCAAAAAAAAAGAAGACTTGCCGCTGGATACCAGTTATCGCTCGGTAAACTAAAATTGCGTACTCGCTTGACTAAAAATAAAATATTATTAACGAAACGAAATACACAGTAAGTAAAAAACGTATAAAGCTATGTGGTTACGAATCTACACGCAGCCCAAAGATGGATTGTTAAATGGTGTTTTTCGAATGGCAGTGTTAGTCTTACAGTAACCGATGTTGAATGTCGAGCAAGGGTTACGCTCCATTCCAGGCAATGTCTTCTTTTAACAATTTGCTTTTTCATGCCAGGAAATGTCAGATAAAAAATAGTGTAATATGTCTAAACATATTCTATATTTGGGTATATTTAAACGCGCATGCCTGCAATTAACCACAGTATGGAAATATATGCAGCTGTGTATGACGTACGTGGATATTACTATTAATATAGTTACAATCAACAGTCGGTGTTCTCCCACTCCTAAAGATCCCTACGCGCAAGCGGAAAATTGTTATTCCCGAAATGACCTTGTTTGTATCGAATGGACTATCCGATTAATAAATTTTATGAATATCTTTTAGGTTTGTGTCCAAGGAAAGACGAAGAACCTCTGAAGTCTTTTCCATCTTCTGACGAACTCCGATCATACGTGTATCGGTATCGGAAAAGTGGTCCAGAGAAAGCAACCCGACTTTTTTTCAAAATAGGTTACGAGTACCATTTACGAGCAGCCGGTTATATTCAGGTGAAGAATCCGTGTTACACCGTGCTGGCACAATGGCGGTCTTCTCAACTGTGGAAAACCTGGGACATTTACCTAATGCCGTATTACTGTGATGACACCTTAGATATGGAGACGAGAAGCAATATCTTTATACGAAACTCATTGTGGGTGACGGTTGCTATCCAAGAGGGGCAAATACAGCGCATTAGATCATGAAATTGAAGAAAAGAAGACTGAATTATTGACTGAAATACAATCAAAAATAGTAGAATATGTTGGTGCTATATCTCAGTGTGTTGGATTATAACCAACACGTAGTTTTGTTCAATGAAGGCAACGCCAAGATTTATAAATCTGTTTGAAATGATTACTAAGTGGATTGTGTTAATGTTTTTGTCAATTTTATATGGGGGGGGGGGGCACAGTGACTTTGTAGGTTAGACACTGTCTTGCGATCCCAGAGTTATCCGAGAAAGTTCTATATGTTTTTCCAAGTATAGGAAGAAAAAGCGAGGTCCGACGTACATTTGCACATAAAAGAACCCTTGACGGGACAGAGGGAATTCGATCAAAACTGGGCAAATTCACCTCAATGAAGTAGGACGTCTGTTAAACCACATTTAATTTAATTTAATTTTTTTAGTCGATCTATTTTAACAATTCTATAAATAATGATAACAATAGTAACTAAATCGATTATGCTTACACTACATCGAGTTTACATATTTCAGTGATTAAGGAATATAGATTGTTTAACATAAATCTATAGTACTATAAATATGTCCTGCTCCGGCACATAACAAAAATAGTAGTCGCGCGGTAGGACACGACTGACCACTGGATTATAGCCCCAGCATGTCGTTATGACCGTTCTCATTAGCCCAGATAGTGCGGAAAAGTCAGACGTTAAATCGCTTGATACCGTCGCCTAGAGATTTCCAATCGTATTGTCTCGGCCGCCTAGAGATTATAAGCTCAATTTACCTTATAGCCCCTGCATGATCTATGACCGTCTTCATTATTCCTGTTGGCGCAGAAAAATCAGACGTTAAATCGCTTTATACATCGCCTACAGATTTAACGTCTGATTTTTCTTTGCACCAACAGGGATAATGAAGACGATCATACATCATGCAGGGGCTATAAGGTAAATTGAGCTTGTAATCTCGTGATATCGTTGCCGCTGTAACTCTGGTTGAAATGATGTTTACATGTCCAAAGAGCATACACGGTCCGATTATTCTGTACCGACTGGGTTAATCAAGACGGGTGTACGCTAACGGTCAAGGGTTCTCTTACGTGCATGCCAATGTATACACCGGACCTCAGCTTTTCGTCCCATCCAAACGACTATACATTGTCTCTTGATAGTTCATCGGTCCTGTTGCACTGACAGGGGATCACCCAGAGATGTAGGGTGGTTAATTAGCTGACGGTAAACTTTACCATTGCTTTGGGTGCGTGTGTCAGGGGGAGACGGGGCAGCAACGAAAAGAGATTCCAGAAAAGATTTACCGAATTGCTTTAGTTGTGTCGAGTGGACGTTACCCCCCCCACCCTCTCTCTCCCTCTCTCGGAGCTGATCAATTAGATTAATATCTGATTTGTAAGTGTAAAAACATATATTTTATAATCTTGATTCGTACATTCATTCATAACAAGTAAATTGCAGAAAATACATGTGTTTATATGAAGTTTATTTAAGTATCATCCATTGTTCATCGTTTCCTGTGACACAACCAGCCAGTACATTTCCTTTTAATAGCAGCATCAAATGTAATACAACCAAATAATTCTCCACTGTCTGGATTTAAAGCTCGTACATCTACCGTATAATCACCCTAGAAATAAACAATAAAAAAGTTTACACTTGGGCTACATATTTAACCTAAATATCAATGATGTCTGCTACATATTTAAAATATCAATAAAGTCTGCTATGTATTTAACCTGTCATGAAAAATCTGCTACATCTTAAACCTATCACTAATGTATATATGCAACCTATCAGAAAGATCTACTATATATATTTAACGTATCAATAAAATCTGCTACATATTTAACCTATCAATAACCTCCGCTACAAATTTAACCTATCAATAAAGTCTTCTACATATTTAACTATATATTTAACCTATCAATAATCTCTGTTACATATTTAATCTATCAATAAACTCTGCTACATATTTAACCTATCAATAAATTCTTGTACATATTTAACCTATCAATAGACTCTGCTACATATTTAACCTATTAATAAACTCCGCTACATATTTAACTACATATTTAACTACATATTTCACCTATCAATAAACTCTGCTACATATTTAACTTATCAATAAACTTTGCTAAATTGCGAACAAATTAAAACAAATGAACAACTTATATTCACTGACTAGATGACTATCATATATAGAACACGCCCACCTTACATGATCTTAGACCTTACTATAGTTTGAAGTTAACGAACTGAAAGCAATTCTAATGTCATCAGACGGATCATAAAAGATAAGTTTAAACTGTTTCAATGGTATGTAATAATTGAACTAGAAAACACAGGGCACAATTCTATGGTATCCCAATTACTGTTTATTACTGGTCGACATTACATCTAAGATTCTCTTGTCTGAATCAAGGAATGATCAAATATAAAGTTGGTTTGTGAGGCTTAACGCCCACTTCCACTGAGGTTATATCCTAAAGGAAACTTGCTTGAGGCGCTAGCCCGGCTTAAAGTGGGAACGGGTAGGCGAAGTAGAAAAATCGTCGCCATCGCCCCTTGATTAAGTGTCAGATCGTGCCTTTTTGAGATACAGCATCTAATAGGCTATTTAGGGTCATTTGCATATACGATACGATTGAACATTATATGCTTCTAAAGAAAATAATACCAACAACTTAGTAATGAACCACCAGAGACATGCACTAATTGCCTTTAAGGAAGAACCGCATTACCTTAAAGGAGACAAATATTAATCAATGCAAAATTATTGAGTAGAAGATTAAGGTTGATTACGATAGCCGAAAAGTCGCTTAGTCATAAACAGGCATTGTATTCGATGGGGGGGGGGGGCTGTGAGTATGGTGCGCTCTTGAGCCCCTACAGAAGTAAATGTTCCCACTTAGTTTTGGATACCTTTTATTATTGAATTTACGTCGTTTTTTATGAATTGCTAAGATTGTGACACGCTAAATTTGTGCATAAGCTAAAAACATCAGGATATACTAGAAAGCACCATTTACATTCAGTTTTTCATAAATATTTTGATGATACCGGCCTCCGCCCCACCCCAGTACGTCCCTGACTGTGATGGTGTTCCATAGAATTGTGTCCCCTGTGTAAATAAAACCTACGTCAGCTAAAACATCAGCAACTGCTCCTAGTTCTGGTACAGTTATAGTAAAGGTGTCCACAGATACGGGTTGTGATTTAACTGGACAGGTAATGTCTATATTATTCTGTGTTAGCATTGTCTGAACTTGATTAGCTAATGTGGATATTCCTTGGTTTTGTTGATTCTTCATATCATTCAGCACCTTACAACCATCAAACGTACTGGAATATAATGTACTCAGAGTTAGACAGTTACAGGAATGCGCCGAGCAAAATTGATATCGGTTACGTTTTTGATGAAGTGGGAAGGGTGAGGGTGTTTACCCGAATATCACCAGATATCGACATAGCTGAATATGCCAAAAAGTGATTTCCGAAGTTTCTGTAGGGTTTTATTTTAAGACATATGTATATTGATAATATTAGTGTGATTCTTGGTAGGTTATTATAGTTTGTAATATTATTCGGAAGATTCTTGTTAGACTGTTCACCTGATGTCCAATGGAAAAGATCATAGTACCATTTATGTGACCACTTTCCCGAAATTTCGGTCGAACCTCAGAATGATTCTAAGATTCTTTTAAACACGAGAAGGTTTCAAGTTATTTTGAATTTTTGCCCGATTCGGTTGGTGTTGTCTTCAATAGTAAGTGCAGGAGAACCGCACTACACACAAACAAAACCGACAAAACAAATCTGCGGACAAGACAAACTACATATAGACAGTGTACGAAATAAACAACAAAATTAGTATCAAATCAAGTGAATGGATCTGGGACTCAGCCGTAGGCGTCCACTGTGCTGTACAGTCCCGGGCCTGTAATGATACAGGCTTCACTCAAAATGAAAAAAAAAAATGATTTACGAGAAAGACGTAACAGAAATAATGAGACCGATCTTGACGAGGTCGTCTCTTGAAGGCGATAGTCTGTCAGTTGACATCATGAGTTAGAACGTTAAACAGATTTAACGAAAGTAAAATTGAACATATTAATGAAATTCCCATAAAGATTTTCGATCGAAACCGCATTTGAACCACACACCATCAAAAACAAAAACAAGTCTTTAAGTTCAGTTAAATCGTACCGATACACGAGATGGAATGTAAACAGATTTAGTGGTGTCTGAGTGAATTTAAATATTCCTCTACAGATCTATTAAGGAAATTTTAAACTAATGCCAAGGATAAGATTTAGACAAATCGATTTTGATAACTTTTTAAACCGCCTACTGCATTTTGTAGTAGTGTTCTTAGAACTGTATATTGAATAAAACTGCAGGCATGTTAGAACTCGGGTCCGGTTCTTTAAATGTCCTAATCAAATTAATGTAGATGTTCTGCGCGGAGAGAAACGAATGCATTGGATACCTTGTAACTGTGTAGTCTTTTAAGGGTAGGACGGGGACCAGTGCAATTGAATTTGTACTTGTATGGAATAACTTAAGCCTGAAATACGGATCTCATCACTTGGGTCTATTGTATATCATTAAAAATTACTATAGATGAACATAGTAATATTATTATTATAATACATAAATGGTGCAATAGCAGGATCTACCTATGACGTTTAAAATATATATTTCGATAACGAAAACAAAAGTAGCAAACCAAATCATTACATACCAAGATCCGAAATCGTGGGTACATGGTATTAGGACAGTTCCAGCAAACGTATGTCTTCGTATATCTAATTTCAAAGACCATTTAGTTATGTCTTTGGCAATCTTTCCTTTAATATGTAGTACTAATGGTCCAGGGGTAACCAAAGGCATTGGTGTGGCTGTAATCTCCTGTATCTGGAGGGCCCTGTTAGGGTCACTGCTTGCTGGAAGATATGATTTATTAAGGATCAAAGCCCTTATCTCAAAATTAAAAATACCCAAATATATCAAACCCTAACCCTGGTAAATAATGGAAAGCTTTTATATAAAACCTAATTCGTAATAAGAAACAAACGCTCTCACCCCCAGAAACTCCAACATTTATTTTTGCCCCGGAAAGGTACCAGCGACACCTCCAGGAGAAGAGCGTCAGCGACACCCCCAGGGGACTAGCGCCACTATACAATAACCGGGAGGTTTTCAGGAAGTTCGTCTTTCGAGGTCAAAGTCTAAACTCAACTGTCCAGTTATCTGTAACAATGGTTAAGTGAACGAGACGTAATGACGCGCTTTAGGTCATGGATTGGAAAATATCAATGTGGTTTTCAATACTATAATCATAATCACGGGTCTGGTCTTGTTGACTTCAAACAGGTAAGAATTTGTTATATAATATTGAAAAAAAAAATATCCAAAAAGGACATTTGGCTTGATAATTCTATTGCTGAATGAGCGTATTGTCTCTACTACACCATATATTAGTCCTTATTTATACAATTAATGCATAATCATGTAGCTAAGAATATCTTATATATCCACGCAATTATTACCCAATTCACTATATCGTTCAAATTTGAATATTTCTGTTTTAAAATGGCTTCAGAAAAAAAATCGCATTTTTGAAAATTGAAGAAAGCAACCAACAAGTTATCTGACAGTGCTTTAAGACTTTATTTAAACCCTCTTCTCATTTGTTGTTTGTATTATGGAGATCCTGAATTTGATTTTCGTTGCATGTAAATCTTACGGTATTTAGGTATTTAATTAACTTAAATTTGATGCTCAGACTGAAAGATTATTTATAAAAAATGTTAACTTGTATTTCTATCTTATAGCAATAAACAGATTTATTATGAAACGCTTTTAATGTCAAATTTTCAATGTAAAACCAATTTCCAAAGACGACTTGTCAAAAAGTAACCACAATAATTGCATCGAAACAGGATATGGCGTCATACATTTAATGCGCCTTATTTGATTATTTCATTTGTAATATCGCATCACTCATATTATTTCAAATTTCAAATTTTTCTTTGGTTACATTACACATGAACAAATAAACTCTTCTGTTTTATTTATTTTTGTGTATTTTCTGATTCTCTCGGATTTTTTTTTTTTTTTTTTTTTTTTTTTTTTAAGAGTTATTAAATTGAATGTTTCAGGTTGATGTCAATAACCAGTCGAGTAATGGTTTGATTTAATATTAGATATAACTGTTTGTTACAACAATATCTCCTCAAGGGAACGATCGGAGAAAAAAATATATGGCCGCTTGTCACATTCAGAGGTATGCGTTTGAATCTCGGAACGACTGTACATTGTAGCTCACGAACCAGAACGTATCAAACTCGGTCCCGGCCGAGAAAATTCCTGGTAATTTTTCAGGTGGTTTCCTTATGTCAGTGATGAAGGATGGATGGCTTGGCGACGAACCGTGTCAAGTTGTACACGTTGAGATGCACGCTAACAGGGGCTGAGACAAGATTTTCAGGAAAAGAGCAGGTGGGGCAGAAATTTCAGATTTAGTGATAATTCGCGAAAATTTTAGAAAATGGAAAGCTGTAGATGCTATTTTCGACTATTTCGGTCCCCGGGTCACCTAAATTGAGCCTGTGCAGGGAGACCCCCAACCCCCCACGCTTTGGATCCGAGCTTGTGCAAAGCAATCTTTGACAGTTGGCATTCGAAATTAAAGTAGGCGGTTGTCAATTCAACAAATGTGACGTCCACTACCTTGTTCAGAGTGGTTCAATTTCTGTTGATGTAATCCTTAATTGAATTAAGATCTAGGCAGCCCCCGGTCCAAGGTGTATAGTATTGTGGATACCGGCTTGGCTCAGTTATGTTTAAAACACACTTTCATTTTTCTTTAGTCGTGATCCGTCTTCATTAGCCCAGGTTAGGAGCAGAACAGTAGGACGTTAAACCCCATTTCATTTCATTTCATTTTCTTTAGTCGTGAGAGTTGGTGGTTGGGAGGCGCCTCATAAGTGGAATAGCCTAGGATCTATCTTCATCCAATTGCGGCACTAATTCGCCAATTAATGGTGTTTTTCCCAACATATTAGATTGTAATCGTACTATCAATTTAATATTGCTGGGATTTAAAACAATCAGATGCTTGAAATTGTTTTCTTTGGAACAGAAATTCCCCTCATAATACTTGGTTTTGTTAAATTAGCAACAAATGATTTCTAGACGAAGGCCATCACGCAATATAACCTTTTAGCTTTTACTTGTTAATTTGACTGAGTTAGATTGCTATCCGGACTATTATTTTGTTTTGGTCTATAAAACAATTTAAAGAACATCTACCAATTTTAAAAGAATCGCTTCGATATATAATACATAGGGCGGGTATCAGGGATCATGGTGTTTTTATTGAGGTTTTTTTTAGGATGGTTTCTACCAAGTAATGGAACTTGAAGGCCGGAAATCATGGCAAGCGTCTAGTCGTTCAGATTGGCCGAATATCCGTACACAGTGGCGGTCACACCTGAAAGAGCTCGTGGGAGTTAGAATTCGAAGCACAGAAGGGGCTACATGAAGTCACCTTTGCTGACACATTTCATCATGATAATATCGGGGGGCATGCAGTACGAGTCTGCACGTGAGCCAAAACTACGTAGCAGTGCTCGTATGCCCAGCACTCTTGGGTCTCTCACCAATCCAACATCTGTGGGACTCGCCTCTCCCGATGTCCCCAACTGCAAAATCCCCGTCGACTGGAGAGGGCTTCCGCAAGCAACAATTCAAAGAATTTTCTCCATTACATTACATAACGTGGCTGACTGCTAGAGGTGGGCATACGCGTTAACGACTATTGATTTTTACTTTCGTGGGTTGCTGTCGATTTTTTTGTGTCGGTAAATATACAGCCAACAATCATGCCAAAAACCACATTTCGACTGCATTATGACCCTCCAGCACATCCAGTCACACCATCAGTGCGCTTTCATTGCATCTCATTGTCGCCTTGATGCTTCGTTGCATTATAGTATACTAGCGTCGCCATGTGGTCCAAGATCTGCTTACCCGGTATCTTCTTCCTTTCATGCACGTTAGCTTGCATCATCAGTTACTATTATTAAACTTAATTATGATAATAAACAGAGTTACCTCCCGTTAATTGTTAATTGCAGTAAAACAGTTTAGCTGCTGTCACTTTCAACCAACGAGTTTTGGCTGTGTTAAACTAATACATGATCTTGACCTTCATAAATCATGACCTAAAACATTCACGGGGTAATGCTGGTTAATTTGATGCCACATAATGTGGAGGTGGATCGCGGCGACGAAGCGTAATGGGGGGAACATACATACGCACATCTTTGATTTTATTTACATAGATATATCGAGGACAAAGTTATACAAAGTGTACTTTATGGGGGTCTCCAATCCCTCTTACACAAGAGCACCTGATACCATTACGTATTTGATGAGTTCACATGGCTGACACATCTATGTAGTATTTTTGAATATAGGAACCATACAAAAGCAGTTGAGAATGCTAGAGCATCTCCCTATTTTTGTTTGTAGGTAGGCCTACCACCCCCGTGGAATACAGATTGAATAAGCTAGCGTTGTTCCACCCTTGTGTTTGGTGCAGGGTGGAGAGAATGACAAGGACAGTGTCTAGTCGTTCGGGTCGAATAAAAACACGAGATCCCGCGACACATCGACGTGCACGTAAAAAAAAAACCTTGATAGTGGAATTCGAAATAAGTGTAGGCCGTAGCGCCGAGGTCCGGACGTTAAATTAGATTTTGTGGATAAGCTACAAATAATTGCTTACCACAGTCGCTCCATTTAAATTGTGTAATGGCAGCATCTATTGATGTAGCTACAAGCAGGAAGAGAACACAGACAGCGCCGTCATTCCTCATGTTGTTCTATTATAAAATAATTGTCTGTTAATCATTAAATTTGGGTTATCGCTTATATATGGTGGGAATGATTAAAGGTGTTTATCTCTAGGTATGTCACGTATTAAACGGGTATTATCACCTCTCTACAAATTACAATATGTCGCCCAAACAGGTGCTTGTAAACTGGAAAATCTCTTTCATAAATAACATTAAATTGTGGATAAGTATTATGTCTTTGAACATTCCCTGTAAAATTCATAAAATCATTTTTAACAACTAGCGAAAATTAGCCAAGTGACATCGCCTGTTTAAATCGGACAGCATGGTCGTTATATATACATATATATAGAGAGATCAAAAGAAAGTTACATAAACCAGATTACAACAGAGATCAAGATTTCATACTGACCATGTAAAAGTATGCTCTGACACTCCCTGGCAGTGAATAAGGCACTGACCTCTAACCAGTACGTAACTTCGTGATTTTTCACTGTGGCATTATCACACTGATCAGGGTGAATTTTTGCTAGGCCGCTACTATCACTAATAAGGATGACATCGATGCGACTTAATGAGTTCCAAATATTAACTTTTTTCTTCCGTCAAATTAAATTCTAAAACATTTTTTTCATTTATTAGATAAATAAATAAAGACGTTTGAATTATTTGTAGGTAAAATTCATTTCCTATTTAGTGTACATAGGTATTAAAATAAGTAAAATTCACCATTTAGCCCGAATCTGTAACGTCTTACGTAAACAATGCACGCGCTATTGAGCCAATGATTGATGCCGCGTGATGTGACGTCACGTGTCGAAACAGTCATCTGTTACAGGGATATTAGAAGATCTCTGTGAAACAGATTGTGGCATTATGACAAAAAAACAAGGTCCCGTGTGCACGTTGGCGTGCACGTAAAATACCCCTTGGAAGTTGTAAATCAACGAAGAGTCCTTCAGAGCACATCCCATGGTGTATATGTAGGTCTTCATTAGCGGATTTGGTGCAGAAAAGTGGAATTTATAAGAGGTTTATGTAGCAAATTCTATAGTTATTTATAGGAAGGTTTATTTTAATATTCTATAGAATAGGTTTTGGGTCAATATAGTTTTCAATAAGAATGGGTACTATAGAATTCTAAATATATATTTTGTTTATCATTTTTTTTATAGTTAGCCCATAGATTTTTCTCATTTGATAAACCTATATTTCTCTCTGTAGATTAATTTGAAATCTGTTAGTCCTCTTGGGTATAACTGTAATATAAGGAATTATAATAGTTAATTGAAGTTATGTACATAAAATAATAAAATTACACAAAGCTTTATATCTAATTTAATTTTATTGTAGGGAAATAAATTGAGTATTTCCCTTCTGTATTTGATCAAGTTGTACAGGCTGTACAGTTGTATACAACTTTCATCAGTTTCCTCGTCGAATTCGACAAAAACTACGTCATTTCGGGACTAACAATTTTATTTCAATAATTCGCTTGCGCTTAGGGGTCTTTAACAGTGGGAGGAAACCGGAAGACCCGGAGAAAACACACGAGGATGGACCAGGCGACCCTGTCCCTTGTCACGTACAACCGGGGAATCAAAACCACGGCAGTTGACTCAATGACAGATCTTATGATACAACGCGCACGCGCGCTAACCATTCGGTCAGGGATAATTTAACGTAAAAATGGATAACCGAGATTTTGTTTATCGACGCTAGCCTAAAATTGATTCCTAATATCTCGATTCAGAGTGAAGCAATTTGACTGAAATTTTCAGCATATTCTGTTTTCATGATGTATCTTTTAACTATTATAGCGAGAACTGTCAATTCTTTATCTGATCTTACTTAATGCACCTTTAAGTTAAGAATTTACTTAAAACTTTAAAACTTGTGTTGTTTTAATGTATCAAATACATCAATAAGAAACTATGTGCAAATTGTTGTGTTTCTCGATCAAAGATATTTCTCAGAAACTGTGCTTGAAAGATAAGTAAATAGTTAACTTAAGTCTGGGAATGCTTTGTGAAACCAGGGCCAGAGTGTTAATGGTAATTTGCCGACATGTATTCTTTACGGCTGACTTGATAACATCAACAAAACATATCGATTAGATATAGTATATTACCGACGTAAAAGAACCCCTGAGAGCTGGCATTCGATGCAGGGTAAGCCTAAACGGCACAACCCGGGCAAATTTCCCTCATAGCACAGATTAGGCACATTAAACCACATTTCATTTGATCGAGGTTCAACTCATATAAGGCCTACATGAAATTAAATGGGGTTTAACTTCATTCGTTTCTGAACTAACCGAGCTAATGAAGACAGGTATATGGCATACAGTGTGTCTGTGTCCAGATAGCGGCGATATGCCCTACTCTTAATTTCAAATTCCAACTCTCAAGGGTTCTTTAAAATACCCCCGGCTGACTAGGTAAAACCACACAAGAAAATCCCGAGGACCTTTCTCGACCAACACCACGAGCGAAGACGAGACCTCCTAGTGCCAATCTGTATCACAGAGAATTACGAAAGTATTCTAATATCTCTGTAAAAGATGACTGCCTTCAACACGTGCCGCCACAGCACGCGGCGTCATTGGCTGAATGGCGCGTGCATTGTTTACATAAGACGTTACTGCTTTGGGCAGAATGCTGCCTTTTAGTTATTTTAATACCAATTTACACCAAATAGGAAATACTTTTTACCAACAAATATGTCAAACGTCTTTATTTATTTTTCTAATACATCAAAAAAATATAAAAATATTTTAGAATTTAATTTGTCGGCGGAAAAAAGTTAATATTTGAGACTCATTAAGTCGCATTGATGTCATCCTTATCAGTGATTATAGCGGCCTAGCGAATATTCACTTCTGATCAGTGTGGGCCAGTGCCTCACTCACTGTGACTCGATAGGCCTACATATTAGAGCTCGAACAAAAAATAACTGAAAAGAGTTTACCTACATTAGTTTGTAAACATCACGTAAATATATCAAGGTAACAATATATATATAATGTCCTTCAGTGGCGGGCCTAATTATGTGGTGCCGTGAAGCTCGAAATGTTATTGGGGACCTTCCCAGCCAACATTATAAACTACATGTAGGTAAACAGTGTTAGTGTCTTCAGTGTTGTTGTCTTATGGCTGAGGCTATTTGCCCGAAAATCTTCTTCGTCGCCCGAATTTTCAGAATGCATCAATCATTAACTAAAAAGATAGGTTGCAAGGCAACGAAACATAAGCCCAAGGCAGCTAAGTCGTCCGGGAGTCAACAAGAGTTGTCGCATATTTGTTCTATTGTCGGTAATGAAACATATATAATACACTAAAATCTCATTAAGTAATTATCAGAAAATCCCTAGAATTTGTTTGGCTTTTAGTTCTGCCCCATGCTAACGTTTAGTATACAAAACATTTAATATCATGAATTTAGCTGCTAAAGTTATCAAAATTCATGAAAATTAATATACTTGTTCATCTTAAGACCTCAAACTCTGTTTATCAATCTAAAGTCAATCGGATGATAACTTTGGTCTCTTAGAGCATCCACAAGATTTTTTCAAAGTGATCAAGGGTAGTAATTATCAGAAATCATTGAAAATCGCTGGGCTTCTTCGTCTCGCGACCTTAAACACTGTATATCAATTTAAAGTCAATCGGATATTAACTTTAGCCTCTAGAGCGTTCACAAGATATTTCAAAGTGTTCTAGGGCCAAAACTCTGGCAGTAATTATCGGATATCGATGAAAATCAATAGGCATCTTCGTCGTATGACCTTAAACACTGTGTATAAATATAACGTCAATCAGATATTAACTTTGGAGCGTCCACAAAGATTTTTCAAAAATATCAAAGGCTATAACTCTGGCAGTAATTATCGGAAATCGTTGAAAATCAATAGGCTTCTTCATCTCATGAACCGACGGACGAACGGGGCGAGGACAATATACGACCACATTTCAATGTGGGCTTATAATGATTTTCCACAAATGTTATTGTGCGAGGTCTTAAATATTATAGTATTCAAAACATAAACCGCTCACGATTTTATTTTGCAATTTTACAATTATATTTCTATGATATGTGATCTTATTCTCTAATGTTTCTGCCCGGAAAACGGGGATACATATACATTGGCCGAAAAATCGACGGTTCACCTATGATGGCGGATCTACATACCGTCATTGCAATTTGATTAAAACCCAGATTCTATTTGGTTTCGTTTCGTTTTTTATAGTTCAAAATTTCGTTTTACTTGTCTTTACTACACTGGGATCTGGAAGAGTTGTTATATAACCCACGTTCTGAATGAGGTAAGGGATTAGCCAATGAAACGGTCTATAACGGCGACTTTTTGGCTTGAGGTACAAGGAACTGTGGGTAACCCACTAGAAACATCAACGCTGGTTAACCCTGACGTCATAGGGTCAAAAGCCGCTCGTATGGCCTCTGACGCGACCTTCCACTACAACCGTAGTAGAGGCCATCGAAAGTAGAACAAAAACGAAACGAAATATAGATCTGTATTTTAATCAGATTGCCGGCATTGTTAGCGTGTTCAGTGGTGTTGTTCAATGTCTGAGGTTACAATTCCGAGGTTAGGCCAACACCCTTTTCTGACAACCGTGTAAACACGAAAGAGGCTATAGTCATTGCCGAAATTTTGTTCAATTTTGGTGTGAAGCATTGGGGTTCTGAGAGGACGAACCCTATCGTTATTCGGCGTTTCCTAGACTCCCTTTATCCCCCCTGTGAAAGCGTTAGAGGGCCTACCATTTTAAATAATTTTGCGTTTTTTTTTCGTACTGGGCTCATGAGAGGACGAACCCTATCAATATTCAGCGTTAGCGAACGCGACATTTCGGTCTGAAATTACCTAGAGACTACCTTTATTGAACTGTTTGCTAGATTCTTATACCCAGTTATAGTGCAGTAGGCCTATAAATGTATATTGAGGCATATGTGTACATGAAGGAAACACGAAATGATTTCTTTATTCCCCCCCCCCCACCCCCAGAAAAAAAAGAAAAAGAAGTTTGTAGTGAGAAAAAGATTTCAAAACAGATATGCATAATGCATGCCGGTCCTTACTATTTAAATAATCTTTTAAAATAATGAAATTTTACAGAACTTTGCCAGTAGCATTATAAAGTAGTTCAAAATAATATGCTGTTTGGTGTCCATAATTATGAAAATGCACTGGTTTTTTGGTTAAAGGGGGGTAACTCTAATAATTTAACCTCCAGTAGTGCAGACTCTCATTTCAACGTCTAAAGCTTTCTGTTTCTTAACTTAAACACAGCTAAGCAACAAATATACGCACATCAGCAGCATTTTTTAACATCAGTTTCCTTAGCAGCTGCGGGCTTTGGCTTTGCATTTTTGTCTGTAGCAGCAGCACCTGGTGGGGGAGGTGAAGGTAAACCCATAGGTTCACCCCATTGTTTCAGCGGATCAAATTCTTCTACCTTCTGTGCACCATTATCAACAATTTGAGATGCAGCACCATCAATGCCATGGAAAGGATTAAAGCCTTCTGTTTCAAGAGATTCGAAAGGTTTGTTTGGGTCAGCAGGAGAAATGGGTAATCCTTCTTGTAGAGATTCTAATTTTCCTGTCATATCTAACATACCTTTTTCAACTCTAATAATTTAACCTCCAGTAGTGCAGACTCTCATTTCAACGTCTAAAGCTTTCTGTTTCTTAACTTAAACACAGCTAAGCAACAAATATACGCACATCAGCAGCTTTTTCATTGGCGTCTTTTATATTTTCACGGTGAGTGGTAATAACTGCATTCTGTTAGGGCTCCTCCTGGGGACTATAGCTGGTCCCAGCAAGTTTGAAACTGTGGAGCACCTACAATGTTTCGACAACATGTTGAACATGGGTATAGTAAAGACAGGGACATTAAAATAAATCGAGAATGATTAGATAAAGAAAGATTTCAGCAAAGTTTTATAGACACAATTATTTCCCTTGAGTCGAATAATTCTTCGAGACAGACTTTTGTCTCCTGAGTGTTTTAACAAATTGAAGGTTTAACGCTCATCTTCAACTTTACAGACAACCTTAATGCCTATTCACGTTGATTTGATATGGGTAATTGGTATTTGTCCTGACAGTATAAACTACACACCGAACAACCAGCCACATTTGAGAGGTAAAAAAACGTGCATGTTGACTATCGTAAAATAACCATTGACAGGTGGGATTTCAAATAAGACAAAATTACTCCCATAGCACACACTGCATGGTATATAACCGTCTTCATTGGACCGAATGGTGCAGAAAAGTAGGACGTTAAACCCCATTTCGTTTCATTTTCAAATACTAGATATTGGACAAAATAACAGAGACTATTGACTCGTTTGTGAAAAGCATTTATTTTCTTGTGGCATTTTATGAACGTAACATTGATCGGGAGCAAACATAAACAAGGCCACAGACCAATAAGGCAGCCATTAGAAGCTGTATTCAGAAAAAAAAAATTAGTTAAATTCACAATAAGTATCAAAATAACAAAGAAAAATACACTTGTAAAACAAACAAACAAAAAATCTACAACATGTACAATGAGGGGGAAACATGAATTATTCCGAAAAACGAAGATGACAAATAATATAGTGTTACTAAATAACTTAACAACTCTTGCTCATTGTGAAGCACACCAATATATGTTTTGCACACTTATAGGCGAAGCTTCTCAAAACACCGTTATTCTTGCGCAGAAATTGGATTGTTGGGTTTGTTTTTTTTACAGTAAACAGCACCATCTGATCATAAACATTGTATTTCTTAGCCAATTTGGTATAAATAAACATAGTCCGGATAATAAAATCACAGGATTTATAAAGAATAAGATTAAATTAATACTAGATTCTAAAATTACTAGTAGGTATCACCACTCTAAACAAAAAGATAAACCGTAATCCACAGAAGTTTTATTTTGTAAATCAAAATTATATAAATACTACAATCGTAAATAAAAGTAAAAATCTCCCTTCTATACCAATTATAAGGTATGTTAATTGAAAGTTAATATTAAAAATGGGTTTACATACATATTTTGTTGTATGCCTGTTTTACTTCAATTAAATGCCTTAAAATTGACAACTAGCATCTTAGAAATTCAATTACTTGAAGATTAAGAAAATGGGGTTCAGAAACTAGAAAGCAAAAAATTTAATTCTAATTTCTCTTATGATTAATATCAACAGTACCATCAAAAGGATGGACATGTACATGTCCCAATTTCCGTAACTGTCGTTTATTGTTCAACTGAATTTTAAATCTACTTATTACTAGCACTAGTAAATGATGAACGAGATCACCTTTATACAATACATTGTGCTACCAAGACATTAGCCATATTATTTCAAATGGGCTTTCTATTAATATGTGTATCAACGAATCTATAAACTGTTACAGGGCATTGCAAAGACCAAAATGAACGAAAAACTAATGACCCTTGAAAGACAATTTGGCAGCGCAAATGTCAGATGAAAACAATTGCTTAATAATGTTCATAAACATAATAATGTGAGGGAGATTATTATCAAAATGAAAATGTTATCTAACTACAATAAATATCTATACATATTCAAAGAATGTCATTAAAAATTCGTGAAATGATACAATAGCAATATGCATGATAAAGAAAAATTCCATCACAGTCAAAAAGTCAAACTTGTACACTACTTAATACTTATAAAAACTTATTCCATTTTGTTTTTAATTTTAATATTACAATACCAGTAACCACGCCCCTTACAACCATTTGATTTCATTTTATACTAGAAACTAGTAAGTTGGTCCAAATCACGGAGAGGGGGTGGTTGCACTAAAATGTCCGTGTATAACGTATGTCACATAAACCTTTGCTGGAGCTTTGTTGTTGTCAACAAAGAATTATGAAAAGTGGACCGGACATTGTATAAAAATCTTATTGCACACTATCCTAATTTTGGGCACTTTGAGGATGAACAACCAAGTTCACAGTTAATTGATATACAATCTACAAAGCTGATACTGACGCATTATCAAATATCAAACTGAACTCAACTATATATTTGTTAATTATGATCATACGACTACAAAATACATCTAAGTTTGTTCAAATTTAAAATTAGGAAAATAAATCTAATCCAGGTAAAAAGCAATCATATAGTTACATGTATTTTACAACTATCACTGAATATTTTAAGATAAAACAGGTTCAGTGACATATTGGTAAATCGTTTTGTACAGGTATTAATTATACTGCGAGTTTTTATTCTTTAAGGATAAATACATTTACAATATGTTTTGTCCATGATAGTGATTGGAGAATTGGAGAATATATTGAAAAAGAAGCACACTGAATATCAACCAGACTTTACTATCTCAATCACCTCGAATAATTATAAGCATTCACCATTTCAGACTTGACTTGCTCATTCTTCAATGTATCTATGTTTTTTTTTTCCCACGAAAGACAAGATTTTTCAGCACAAAAACCCATGCAAAAGATTCTCTCTTCTAAGTGTTACAATATTCAAACTTAAATGGTAACAGTGTACTACGAAATGTTTTGAGTGCAGTCTGAAATGGCGAACCCTAGCTCACATCCATGTTCACATTACATGTACATAATATAACAGCCAGAAGCTTTAGAACTCTAATCTATAGGCAGAGCAGTTGGCTTCGTGGTCCTGGAGTTGAATAAAACAGCGACTAGCGGATGGCGCGACATCAATCTTCAGCTGACTTAATTTTTCTTTGTTCAAACCCATCCAATGTCTGAGTGTTTCATTATCATATGTAGGTATAACCATTACTTCTGTATCTTTGTTGTCCCACGTTGGTTTGGCTTCCAACAATGCATTTAATATTTCTGGATTTGGAGTCAATGCGCTTAACACGTAGTGTCTTGCTCTGATACGTTTGAAAAATTCTACATCACAATAGTTGGATTCTCCATGATTAGGAACATATGTAAGATCTACGTAAAAAGGTGTGAGGGCGGGTAATGGAGGTAATTTGACTGGAGCTGGAGAAGCTCGACTAGTTGCTGTAGCAGGTCTACGGGCAGGGGCAGCTTTAGTCTTTGTTGTATCTAACTTTGAGGTTTCCGTTTTAGCAGGTGCTGTTGCTGGTCTTGTTTTAGAAGCTGGCCTTTTATCGGCTGCACTGGTAGCTGGCTTCTTTGTATCAGCTTTCTTATCTACACCGTTTGTTTTACTAGCGGCTGAAGATGGTCTAGCACTTGATGTTGCCTTTTTGGCCGGAGCAGAAGAGGGTTTTTTAACATCAGTTTTCTTAGCAGCTGCGGGCTTTGGCTTTGCATTTTTGTCTGTAGCAGCAGCACCTGGTGGGGGAGGTGAAGGTAAACCCATAGGTTCACCCCATTGTTTCAGCGGATCAAATTCTTCTACCTTCTGTGCACCATTATCAACAATTTGAGATGCAGCACCATCAATGCCATGGAAAGGATTAAAGCCTTCTGTTTCAAGAGATTCGAAAGGTTTGTTTGGGTCAGCAGGAGAAATGGGTAATCCTTCTTGTAGAGATTCTAATTTTCCTGTCATATCTAACATACCTTTTTCAACCTCAGGGGTTCCTCCATCAATAGAATCTGTTTCATCATCGTGAGTGGCAAGTGCCCCATTACCATTCTGTTTTACTTCACCCGCTTCAGTTTCTTCCAAAGATGGAGTATGGTCTCGTTCAAAAGCCTCTGGTATATTGGATACCTCCTGATGATCCAGTTCTTCTTGTTGGTCATTTTCGATTCCTTCATCTCTAACATCAGCAGCACGTTTTTCATCTTCAAGATCAACATCCTTTTCATAAACAAAAGATGACGGATCCCCTTTATCATTACCATCTTGACTACCCTCATCATCCTCATAAATACCAAGATCTTCCATGGTCTGTGGTGCCATGCCATTATCTTGATTTTGGGGATCTTCTCTTTCTGCTTCTTCCTCATCTTCCTCTCTGATTCCTCCCATACTTCTCAAACTAGCATCATCAGTAATGCCATATTGAATATTCTGCTGTACCGACTCTGCTGATGGTACAATATCAGGTTCATTTGAAAAAGAAGGCAGAGGAGCTGTTCTACCTGGTGGAATAGCAGGATAGTCATGATCCTCAAAATTAGGCTCTGGTGAAGACGGGATATCCACAGCTGGGTCTCCATACTCCTGGTTCTCGCCATGAGGAACTAGGTCTGGCTCTGATTGTATAGAATCATCAAGTACGTTATTTTCAACTTCGGTACACACCTCCTTCTCTGGTGCAGCTTCCTGAATGAGATCTGGTTCAACTGGTGCTTGCATGGGTACAGCAACAGGCTCTGGTAGGTTCTGTGGAATCTCCTCTTCTGTTTCATCAACTGATGATCCTTGCTGTTGCTGTTGTGCAGACAGTGTATCAATGGGCATAGATCCCACATCATCATCTTCATCATATATTCCCAGATCAGCAAGTTGTTGTTTATTGTAATCATTGGTTTGTTGGACATCTGCAGCAAGTGGTGCCGCATTGTATTGTTCTGGACTGGGGAGAGGTTCAGGAGATCCATTGATACCAGCAGCTAGTTCTGGAATTAAGGCTGCAGTATCTGGAACATGATTTATAATTGGTTCCGGTTCTGCAATAACTGGGGCAACTGGTTCCACAGGTGTGATTGCTGGGGTGACATTTTTAGCTGGAGATGTAGAGGAAGCTGATCCTTTAGATGGACTAGACGAAGCAGAAGACTTAGACTTGTCGGATTTTTCTTTGTCTACATTTTTTGTTTTTACAGGAGACTTTCGTGGACTATCATCCTTTTTAGTTGCTTTAGGAGGAGAAGATCTTGGTGTAGTTTTTGTCGGTGAAGCTTTTGTTGCAGTTTCTTTCTTGACAGGAGCAGCTGCCTTTGCCGGAGCTGATCTTGCAGATACTCGAGAGGCTGAAGAAGCAGATGTTCCTTTCTTTGCTCCAGCTGCAGGTTTTAACAAATCTTTACCTGTGCACACTGGGTGTTTAAATACATCAATAGTTTTCACTTTTTCTAAACCTTCAATTATTTTGTGCTGTGGGGCATTTCCTGGAAACAATACTCTGGTTATCTTCTCATCGGGATTTGTAGGTTTCCACACCAATAATGCACAAATAGAGAACATATTAGGCATTGGGAATCCTTGGTGTGTGCCAAACTGTGCAGATTTCTTGGTCCATTGTTGGTAGAATTCCTTTAGTTCTTTACTATCTTGGACTGGATTGAGTATGTACATGTCTAGTGAACCGTGGCCAACTTTATGGTATAAATTTACAGGTTCAAGTGTAGGGGCTTTCTCACCACGTACACAAGGATGTGGAACTACGCCTAACTGTTTCGACATTTCAATAATATCATTACCCTCATCGGCCAAATTAATCAACAAGCTTGGTTCTTTAGGATTACCATTTGGTTTAGTTTGATCAATTGCATTCATATAAATATAACCTATTTCAGGATGGGCACTTTCAAGACATTTTCGTTTTAATACTGAACTAATACCAAATAAATTATCTGTACCTAAATGGGTGAGCAAGACAGCATCAATTCTATCTAAATGACGGGTGAAGTCCCAGAAACAGGCCTTCCTATTGAAACCTGCGTTAACTAACAAATTAAAGCCCTTGATTCCAAAGAGAGCAGAATCTCCTTGGCATCCAGGAAATATGTACAAAGTAGGTTTATTAAATCCAATGTTACCAATAACATCAGAAGCTGGCAAGATATCGGTTAAATTACTAGTTTTAACAAAGCTTCCAATGTAGGTTGTGAATTGTAAAACACCATGCATGCTATCCAACTTCTCTGGTGGATTGACATTGAGTGTAATTACTTTCGAAGCTTCTTGTTTGGAAATATTACTATTCCAATCACCGACAGCTGAACAGTACATTGTCAGCGTCGTTGCTTGCTGTTGCTTCAGGGCTGTTTCAACTTCTGTATCATTAAGAATATGTGTCAGTTTCTTGAATGTGAAGACGCCATCCTGTAAAACCCAATCACCTGATCCCTGGAAAGCATGACCAGCAAACAGCAGGAATTTATGTTGGACTGGTAAAATAAGGAAGCTCTTTAAGGAATTGGTAACACTCTGTGTCTGTGGATTGATAAGAATCTCCACGGCAACATTGTCTGAACTGTGTCGAATAAGCCTCTCTCCTGAAAAAAAAATCAAATCAAACATTATTTAATGTTTAAAGATATGTTAACATGAAAAAAACAAAACAAATCAAACATTTTTTAAAGATCAATTAAGATATGTTACATGAAAATTATTGGCTTTGATAGTTACTTATTAACTCAAGACTGATTAACAAGCTAATTTGTTTTTTGGATGAAACAAATGAAATAGACTGTGGGTAAGGCCCATAAACAGCTAGGCACCACCGAATGGCTTTAGGGCATTTGTAGAGACAGAGAGAAATGGGGTTTAATGTCCACTCGACACAAACTTGGTCATTTTGGGACTAACACATGGTTCAATTTTATTTCAATAATTCGCTTGCGTGTAGGGGTCTTAAGCAGTGGGAGGAAACCGGAGGATCCGGAGAAGACCCGTGAGGTTGGACAGGCAACCCTCTCTCCTTGTCAAGTACAACAGGGGATTCAAAACCAAGCCAGCTGACTCAATTGCAGACCTTATGATGCAGTGCACACGTGCTAACCCTTCAGCCATCCAACCCCTGGAGCATTTGTAAGGCACTAAATTGTTTCACTGACGAGAAGTACGTTCATTTAATATTATACACACATTATTTAAATTCTGCGTGTTTAATTTTTTTCTATTTGACCCAATTTAAAGAGAACAGCTGTCACTCCACCTGTTTGTGTTTTTTAAAACATGGCACATAAAACAGAAACTAGCAGTAATCATTAAACTATTTATTGATCTGGGTGGATGATGTGATTCATATCTATGTGAAAACACTGAATCACCGACCATAACAACCGTGACAAAGATAAAATTCTAAGCATCTCATGTTTCCACTTGTTGGGAGATCCATGAAACCAATGATCAATAAGTTACTCGTTACATGAACTGATTAAGGGAGGGAGATACTCATGTTCCACGGCAGGAATAGCCGGCCTTGTCACTTTTGCAACGTTTGTCATTTTGAACAGATCCTACATGTATGGTCAAGAAATTCAATTACTACTTCTCTAATTTGTCATGTCATTTTGGAGAGTATTAAATTTGATGAAAATTTACTGATGGTGATTTCCTATCTTTTAGATCATGCATTTGTTTCATTATGGTCAAGAAAATCAATTACTACTTCTCTAATTTGTCATGTCGTTTTGGGTAACATTGAATTTGATCGAAATTTATGTATGGTGATTTCCTAATCTTTCAGATCACACACTCTTGGGACCCCGAACTTTCAAAAATATGACAGCAGACGAACCTACATGTAATCCAGTTTGGGATTGAAACCATGCCACTTGACTCAATGACAGACCTTAAGGTCTAAAATGCACACCTTCATTAGGACATTAAAGTGTTTAGGCATATCAACTATAAAAAGAAGAAAAGACAATTTGTTGTCAGCAGTATTCTCGGACTGCTTTAGGTTTTCCAATATATTCCCCACTTAAAAAACAAAGTCTGCAATTTTTGACTACCGGTAGCTTACATGTACGTACAAGTATACATGTACATGTAATAACATTTAAAGAAACACACAAAAATAATTCTTACACAGAAGAGAAAATAATATTCATTTTTCAGAAAAAATAAATAGATAGATCTGATTATAGATTTTTAAAGACATCCTATTTCTCAGATTTGAAATTAAAAACAAAATTGGAGATTAATGAAATATGGATATGCTCATATTAAGTTGAGAATATCGAAATTAAATTCTAAATGAAATAATCCAGAGAAAAATATTTGAATAAAGTCATGTGAAAAGAAAATCATGCTTTTAATCTACACTCTAAAAGTAACAGGCATGTTTTTATGTGCTTTAAAATAAATGATAGACAAGCTTTAATTTAAATTTGTCCTTGGTCATGCCAATGAGACTTACCTCCCTTGGATTGTGCTGTGCAACAAAATAGATAATTTGATTTTTTTTTAAAGATCTTACAAGTATATATTCTTGATAAATGCTTTTATACATTTTATATTTTAACAGCTGAGTTTTAATATTTGTTAGTATTGTATTTTTAATTAGACATAGACCTATTAATCTGGTTAATAGCCTAGAATGAAAGACTTATGAGATGAATATACATGTATGAAAATAAGTCTTTGAATAGTAGGCCTATACAATCTATCATGGTTTTATTAAATCACATACAAAAACAAAAGTTCCCAAAGTTTTAATTTTTTTTTTTCTTGCAATCCTTACCCCCAACTTAACCTCCCCGAAATTTTTTAAAATTATCAACAAAATCATAAAATCAGGATTTAAGCTACATGTATGGCTTTTCCATTGTTAGCATTAAACTTTTATGTCTGACAATGGATTTATGAATATAAATGAGAATACTGAGTCACTGATAAGAAAGCATGCACCCGATTACCAAAGTTAACAATGATGTCATCCATTATTACTAAGTGCAGTGCCCAGCCCTATTATTATAATACAGTGAAAATACAAACAATGATTAAAGGGAGATAACTAACCATTAGGCCCTTCCTCTCCAAGGGAAGCTCTATTTGCAATTTGTGATAATTCATCGTTAATATCCACTTCTGTCACCTCTTTGTCCCAGCCTTTAAAACCTGAAAATTAAATAAGAATTTGAAATAAGTTTGAATCATATGATTGGAATGTGGTTAATATTGATTAATATATTTATTCATATATTATATACATCTCCCCCAGCTGTTGTATGTCTATTCTAAAATAACTAATTATTCTACCATACATAGATCAATATCCTCTAAATATTGTTTATATTTTTTTAATATCAAGTAATGACTGTCTGATTGTCTCATAAAATGTCTACATTTATCATCTACATGTATGCAAACCATGAGTTTGATTGATCCCATAGTACATGTGTATGTGACAAGGAGTGATGTGGCTGGCCTAAGCTTGGTTTCCCCAACGTTCTACTTGGTTTCTTCCCGTATTTTTTAATAAAAGTACATGTAACTACTGTATGTGTGACGAATTGTCTAATGATTGTCATCTATGCAAATCATATGAGTTTGATCCCTTAGTTTATGTGACAAGGAATATGTGGCTTGATTAAGCAGATGGAATATCATCCTGATAATTCATTATTAATTGTATACATGTACATTATGCAAGAGCTAAATCTGCTTATTGCAGGTCTTTTTTTAGGCCTGAAATGTTATCTAAAATATTATTTAGACGATAATTTAACATGACAAGACAATAATCAACTCTCGATGCCATTGGATATCTCTGATATTAAGTAGATTAGAATGGTTCAGCCATATTTTGATATACATGTACTGTAATTTAAAAATAGAGAAGTGAGGTTTAGCTTCGAACAACCAGCAAGGTAATATTCTTTAAGTGGCATTTAGTGACTGGGCAGATAAATAAACTATAAACATACTTATACCTTCAAAGGCTAATGTTTCTTCGCTTGCAATAGGGTAATTTGAATGAAATTTTCAATATATTCATTTTGCATTATCTATTTTCGACCTATTATAGCAAGAATGGATAGCTCCTTATCTAAATCTTACATGTACATAATGTATCTTTAATTAATCTCAGCGAAATCATTCATCTTTAATCTATCTTCAGACAGTTTTATTTAAAGAAAGTATTATGTGTGTACAGTGTACAATTTATTTTTCTTTCAACAACACTGTACATAGCAGTGTGGTTAAAACATAGAAAACTCATGATTATTTAGGTCTACCATTTCATCTGCTTGTTTTATATTGAGAGAAAACAATAGAAATACCCGGTACCCCACTGCTGAACACAAAAAACATATTAGCTGTGGATACATGTACATCTTCAAACTTTCTTGTTAAATAACATGGACAATTCCATTATTTACAGTAGGTAAAAAAATATAAACTGCACGGAGAGATAGAGACAATAGATTGTCACTCATATAATGTTGATCTAAGTCCACTGAGTTTTGTCAACAAGAACATTTTGTAGAATAGTAAAACCTTAGTTAAATATTTTCATCATGTGACATATATAGCACCTGCTTCTAATGTTAATTTACTGTCTACACAAGTTTTACCTGGTTAAATACCTGACAAAATTTTATACCACATGCAAGGTACACTACATTTAAAACTTGAACATTCTGAACCAAATTCATGTTTTATTTAGGAATGGGATATATTTTTTGATTAAGAAGACACACGATATTGGCCAATCATACACATACATGTAGTCCCCACATATCGGGGGATATGTTGATTTTTCCTGCAGCAATCAGGGATTGTTCTTATTGTTCTGTAACAATGGGCTAATAAAGAATTAAATTTTGCCCAGACAACCATGCTACAGCCTCCTCTTTTTTCGATTTGCAACTCTCAGAGGATCGTTAAGAGGTTATTCATGCTAAAATACAATTTCATTCAATATTCATTGATACAATTTCATTCATTATTCATTGATAAAATTTAAGTATATATTCTATTGGCTTTCTCTTGATGTGGGGTCCCATACAGCCTATGACCAAATACTACAAGATTATATTCCAATATAACAGTTTCTCATGTGGCGAGATCACTTCCTGTTGCACAATTTGGAAAAGTTCATTCCCAGTACAGCGTATTCTGAATAGATCACTAGTTAGGATGACTTGCTTTTTAGTGTAAATTGATGTAGTCTTTAGTCAATTACAGACCAAAATGATTAAAACTTAAGTACATCCTCAGATAAAATAATACACATTTGTCCTGCATTCAGCAATGTGAACATTACATTATTCAAATATTTCGATTCTATTGACATGATTGATTTTTGGACATTTTTTTTTTTTGGGGTGCATTTAAAGTCTTTTAAATCAATATAGTTTCCTTGATCTGTTTATCAATATTTAAATTATTGCTAGTAAATATTTCATAAGAGACAAAGGGCAAATCAAATTCTAATAATTGTAATTGAGATCAAATAAATAATACTAAAATATTCAGTTTGTAAACTAGTTTCCTTGATCTGTTTTTCAATACATGTATTTAAATCATTTGTGGTAAATATTTCAGAAGAGACTAACGGCAGATTAAATTCTAATAATTGTAATTGAGATCGAATAAATAATATTAAATTAATCAGTTCATAAACTATTCCAATTCAATTTTTCGTGCGACAGTGAAGAAGATTCCCACTAGTTTTTAATTATACTAGACTACTCGCGATCGGTTGGTACATTTAATATTTATAGCTCTACTGTGATGTACATGTACTAATACCTACAGTATAGTAGTAGTATTATTTTCGACACTGTGGGTGAATGAATGATTAACAACACTCAATGTTTACTCTAGAACAATTATTACTGGTTCAGCACGGTACCTAACTTCATACAATCAACCAATACTGTAGACTATATGCTCTATTCAAAAGTACTATGGAAGGAAATTCTGGTAGGTCGCCAAGAATGAGCAAACTACAGATCAACTGATGTGCATAGTAGCAACACTCCCTCCTACAATGTTATACATTATTTGAGTCAAGCCACAAATATTTCCTTTGTCTGGAGTTTGTCTCAGAAATGTTACTATGAGGCTCAATAAGAAACACAGACTGGTAAAGGAAGGGGGAAGGGAATTTAGGGTATTAGACAGACAGATTGGTAAAGGAAGGGAGAGGGGATTTGTGGGTAAAGAATTACACAAATTGGAAGAGGAAGGGGAAGGGAGAGGGGAAACGGGCAGAATTTTAAAAATTCTGAAGTTCTCCAATTCAATGGCCCAGAGAGTTGATAATATAGGCTTGTCATGTTAATTAATAAATGTTTAAATAATACTTTAATATAACATCTAAATCCTGCAATATAGATTTAGCTATTAAATAATGGAACTGGTTATTAGATGTACATGTACGGCAGGTTTATTTTTCTATAATCGATGCCTTTGTTTGACATGTCTGGATGACCCAGTCTATAGTATAAGGTCATCAATTACAACAAAATGTCAAAGTGTCCTGGACTACATGATAATCTCTGATTATTTTATATTCACTGTCCAATAGTAGGTTTATACATGTACATGTATCATTATTTATCATCCACGGTATTCCTATTACCCAGATTTATTTCATGGACACCAAAGGTAATGTTTACTCCACTAACCTGGCTAATGCATACAGACAAATGCCATGCAGTGCCAGTCTGATTTATAAGAGTGTATGTCAGTCCCCAGATTTGTAAAGAGTTTATTCCAGGTCCCTCTATTTCAGTCACTGATTTGTAAAGGGTCTATGACTGTTCCCTCTATTCCAGTCTTCATTATCCCAGTTGGAGTAGAACAGTAGAACATTAAATCCTATTTCATTTCATTTCCAGTCTCTGATTTGTAAAGAGTTTATCTGTTTCTTCTATTCAAGTCTCTGATTTGTAAAGGGTCTATATTTGTTCCCTCTATTCAAATCACTGATTTAAAAATAGCTTATACATGTACCAGTCCTTGCTATTCCAGTCTTTGACCTCTGATTTATAAAGAGTCTATGCCAGTCCCCTCTATACCAACCTCTGTCTATCTCAGTCTCTGATTTATAATAATAATAGGGCATAGTCTCTTAATTTATAACAAGATGCCAATTCTGTGATTTGTAAAAGAACAAATGCCATATAATTATTTTCATTCAATGTGCAATGTTTTGGCTGTGCTTCTTGTTTAAAATCATGTCTGGCGCTGGCTGCTTTAATTGAGTATATCACACAGTTAGGCAATTCATTTCACTTTTCATTCCTGATACAAGCTGTTGGCATTCCTCCAGATTTTACCATCTCCAGTTTCTATGTTTTATATACAGACTGCATCAGTGATGATTGAAGACATTGATAACTCTCTTTAGGCTGATTACTTAACTCATTGATTTATTTTTTTCAACACCAAACCTGATCCAATGAATACAGATTAAGAAAGTAAAAAATATACAGATTTAAGATGAATTTAAAACTGAATTTATTTTAAGACATTCAATAGGAAAATTCTTAAGCAAGAATTTTGAAAGATAGTATTTGATTTTTAATGAACATGAATTCAAACACCTACACGTATGTGATCTTTTCATTCATGAAAGATCTCATTTTCTCCTATATTTTTTAGTCACATCAGTTTCTGAGCAAATTTAGGTAAAAAATTCACCCAATTTCATTCACAACTTCCACGAACAATTTTGTCTTCTAGCTTCTATTTTTTTTTCTTTTCTCACAAAAGGTAACTTTGATTGTCCTCTGTCCTCTTTAAAAATAAAATTTAAACACAACATTCCTTATAGACAGACTGTGTAACCGATTGAAGAAAATACAAATATTTAAAGTCAAACATAGAATGAAACGGTTAACACATACAAAGTTCAACTAACATATTTCCTATTGCACTTTCAACTCTTTTAGCACCCATGTTTGAACTGACTTTAAACAATGACAAGAGTTAATAAATCTAAAGGTTACATTATATGTTCATTACATTAAACCTGCCAATCATCATTTGAGGATTTTAAACCCCTTACAAACTACATGTACAATATTGTGTAAGTTAAATCTCTAAATGGGATATGAGTAAAAAAAATGATTTAATTTTGTTGCGTACATACATATATGAAA